GCAGAAAATAGGCCTAAAACGACATTTATAAGTGTAAATGCTTTTTGCCATTCATTTTCAGTTTTCAAGTCTAAAGCCCAAACGAGTAAAAAGAAAAAAAAATCTCACAATCTTAAGGCTAGCCTATAAAGTACTATTTGTCTATATAGAACTTTAAAGGGTTCTATTGCTGACTTCATGTTTGGAACTCCTAAAGTATGATGGAACACTTGTAGGGTTCAACTATAGATTCTATAGATTTTAAATATGTAACCTATATTAAGAGTGCCAGCTGGTGTTTAGACGCTTTTTAGTCCAGTGTCTGTGCTTCTCTAGATATCTATCAACTAATGTATTATAGAGAAGCACTCATAAATGGTAAATATTTGGATAACAGAGAGCACAGCAAGCTAAAACACAAGCATTACAAAGATCCAGAGGACTTTATGTAATCATACAACATTAAGCTTTTTGCCTTCACGACGAGCTGTTGTTGACATTAGTATAATTTATACAGACTATATGAAAACTGTGGGCAGGAATCGACGGTTTGCTGAAAGAGAGAGCATTTGATGCAGAGGCTGTGCTCGAGAGATAACTCTGGGGTCATGGGTTCATCCTCTGAGTAATGTAGGTTTGGTGTGATGTCAGAGAGTTTCCTCTGTGTGTGCCTTGGCTCCAATATTCGATGAGACCGCAGAGTTTAAGAGATGTGAGCACATACATACACAACGATGCGCCTCTTCAGGTGGCCACATATTTGTATTGCTCCAAACCCAAACCTTGATAAATGGCAGTCGCGTCCTTGTATGAAAACGTCTGCTGTTTGTTTTGGAAAACCGATTCAGTGCTCCTCCTTTCCCAAATACATTTCCCACTATGGAGTATTTGACAGACTCCAGGGGTGAGAGACATGTTCAGACGCAGTTAGCGCCATGGACAGGACTACAATATTTGAACTCACAGATGTTTTCTCCAAAACAAGTTTCTAGGTCTAAATGCTGATGGGGCGATCCAAGTTGGATTCACAGAACTAATTAAATGACACATCTCTGAGTCAAATCCTGTGATTCATAAAATGACAGAAAGAAAGATGCGTTGTAAGCTTTGACTTTGTTTGGAACGTTAATAATCTATTAACATTTGCATTCCATCAAAACTCATTTACTCGCATTCAAATGATTAGCTTGGCTCTGTTCTGACTCTAATCTTTTCAAAATGCTGAGGATAACACAATTAGTTTGATTCTGTTTTTCAATCTGCCCTTAAAATATACATTATAGAAATGAAACTTTGCATAATGTTGTAAAGAAAATAATTTCCCTATTGTTGGTCTGTGCCTGCAAAACATGAAGATCCATTAGAATCGCATAATTGTGGTTAACCACGTCATTATTCACAGGATAAAATTCATCTGAGCTTCTACAGGGGAAAAAATCCTAAATGGTACGCAGAGGCTCTCTCACAATGTGGAAATTTGCAATTGACTAAATGCGAAAAGGTTAAATGCCAAGTTCCACTTGTAAAAACTAAAAAACTTTTTTTTTGTTTTATTCAGCTAGCTTAGAGGGGATCTGGCATAAATCATGTTATATTCACTATTAACCCAGCTTTTAAAATGCACATATTGTTACTGAAAACAACCGAGAAGACCATTAACAGAGCCCATAATATGCTAATTAAGAACAGAGCCATTTCATCCAGCACAGGAACAAACAGGCATTGTGGTTAATTAATTATTTGCAAAGACACAAATATCTTACCAGGTAACATTATACACAGAACACATAGAGATATAAGAGCAAGTGTGCAGAAATCAACGCTTGTCTCTTATTTTATTGTCATTACCAGAATAAATCTGAAATAAACATTACTTTCCATTTTTGTTTACTCATGCATGATAAAATATTGGCACAGAATAGGTCAGCCTGAAGCGTGGTTTAACACATGGATTGGTCACAGGTTTAGATCCAGCAGGGAAATAAATAGAGCTAAAATTTGGCTTAGCAAGGCTGATAAAACACACCCAATCTAAGTGAACTCTCAGTAACCTGCTGAGGCAATCCAGGGAGATGCTAGCTAGGAGCTCAGCTGCTTTGGTCTGGTATCTGCAGGCTCCAGACTTCTGAAGTCAGAAAGCAATGGGAAATCTTTTAGCTGCTGACAGCACATTTTAAATACCGAGTTGTTATTGTTCAATCATATTGACTCACTCTACAACTAAGGATGCATATCTATCCTAAAGATCTTATATTTATAAATAACTTCAAAGAATGTTAAGATGTGTCATGCTGCATTTCTGCAACTGTTTTGGGAGATTATTATAATTGCAAATCTTATACCTAATTTGTGCTATTTGTGTATATATGAAATATTATTTTTATAATTCTTTTGTCTGCTCTAATATTGCTGTCTTATATGGTTGCTTATATTAAACTATCATTTTCTAATGATTGGGTGTACAAATTTTAAAAACATTATATACTGTATAGGCAAGCTATATTTTTTATAGTATTAAGTATTATTTTATAAAGGCAACACTGCAAGTTCCTTCAAATGACGTTGTTTCTGCATAATTCCACTATGGTGAAATTCAGGTAGGGAAATGAATGATGCTTTCTGATACCTGCATGACCTTGACTCTTAAAATGGATGTAAGGAAATGGCTAATTTAAATATGAAGTAAGTAACCAAATAATGTTAAAGGGAGAAAATACTATGAGTCAGCAGGCTGATATTAGGCAGTACTACTCAAAACACACAGGAATGTCTTTGAAATATAATTCATAGCTCATACAATTTTGGGAAGACAGTTTCCTATAGTTTTGTTTTAATTTCATAATCGTTTATGATTTATACATTTATTTATGTATGCATATACTTAATTTAAATCCAAAACCAACAAAACAGAAGCACATGCCCACAAACAAATACAAAAAAAGTTTGTTCTTGCATTTTTGTAGAGAAGAGACGCGAGAGAAAGGATATTCAACCCCCACCTTGTATTTATTCACAATGAATACAGGTTAACTGGCCTCAATTAGCCCATCTGCACTCACTCTAGTCTGTTTCTCTAGTCTCAGAACCCATTTCTAATACTGGCATATATGTGTGTATATATATATATGCCATATATACATATATATATGAATGAAGAGTTCAGATGCAAAAGCCTCTAAGTGTCATCTGAAAATGTCTTCTAAAATTTGCATTTTTATCAGGCTCCTATGTTTAGGTTCAGTAATTTTACTTTAATGGCAATGTATAGGTCCTTTTCTATGCCATTAAAGTGAAATAACTGAACATAAATATAGGAGCCTGATAAAAATGCTCATTTTAGGTGAAAATTTCAGATGGCACTTAGAGGCTTTGGTATCTGAACTCTTCTCTCTCTCTCACACACACACACACACACACACACACACACACACACAAACACACGCAGGTTTGTTTTTATGGTTTATGGGGACTCTCCATAGGCGTAATGGTTTTTATACTGTACAAACCGTATTTTCTTTTGCCCTACACCAACCCTACCCCTAAACCTAACCCTGACAGGAAACTTTATGCATTTTTAGATTGTCAAAAAAACTCATTCTGAATTATTTATAAGCCTTTTGAATTAGGGGGACACTGAAAATGTCCTCATAAATCACCTTCTCCTTGTAATATCTATGTCATACCCATGTTGTTATACAAATTTGTGTCCTCATAAACCACATAAACATGCACACACACACACACACATATATATATATATGCATTGTATCATATTGTATATACATTGCATTGTGTGTGTGTATATATATATATATATATATATTACATCATTTAATTTATAATACATATTGTAATATATTGTTAATAATGTATTATAAATATATTATACATTCAGATTTGATCACTTTGATTTTACATAAAAATAAACGTTTTTGTGTGTTGTATCTATATATGGGAAAACATATACGCATACGTTTCCTTCCATGAAAAATGTGTGTGTGTGTGTATTCCTATATATAGATAGAAATTTTAACACACAAAAAATAAAACAGTTTATTTTTTTAATGTGAAATCAACGTGACAAGCTGTTGTTACCATCAGAGCTACCATTTTTGACCACTTGCACTCTAATCACTGATTAAGTACAAAAGGTGACATTTATTGTGACAAGTTACATGGATAGAAACAAAGATGTTGATATAATAACAAAAATTCAGTAGGCCTATATAAAATGTACTATGTAGGATAACGCCAGTCTTTTTATTGCAATTTATCACATTTTAAAACACCAATAAAAAGGACATAAATGATTGCTGTATGCTTCCCCCTAGCAAAGCTACCATTTTTGACCACTTGCACTCTAATCACTGATTAAGTACAAAAGGTGACATTTATTGTGACAAGTTACATGGATAGAAACAAAGATGTTGATATAATAACAAAAATTCAGTAGGCCTATATAAAATGTACTATGTAGGATAACGCCAGTCTTTTTATTGCAATTTCACACATTTTAAAACACCAATAAAAAGGACATAAATGATTGCTGTATGCTTCCCCCTAGCATTTTAAGCCTTTATACAAGTAAAATCGTTTTTGAAGTGATGTTTTCATAAATAGGTTTTGATTTAGTGCAATTCAGAATTGATGGTCATTTGAGTCCATGTTTGGAGTGAGTGGGATTATTTCAGCCCACCAACACTGAAAACAAGTGCAGAAAAAAGGAAGCCAATCGCTTTGAGCCGTTTTGCTGCTCAGAATCAGATACAAGCAGACTATCGCACAAGTGTCTTCCGCCTATGTTTCCATTCATTCCTGTACAAAAGCAAACAGGGGCGACTCGCTTTAACTGTCCTGCTCTTCACCAAAAGCTCTTTTCCTCTCCCTCTCTCTGTGGTTCTCGTTCAAGCCCTTTCCCCCTCCAGTACTTTTTTTTTTACTGCCCCTCTCTATTTATGAAAACGTCACTTCAAGTCCCTCCCTGTTTGAATCTCATTAGTTTTTTTTTCTTGTGTGTTTCTCCCTGTCAATAATCCCGAATCCAGACTCTCTCTATTTCCATCCCTCTCTATCTGTCAATCAGCGCCGCCTTTGAACTGAAAACCACTCCGACCAACTTCAACTCCCTCAATCCGAGCGCCTCAGCTCCGTCTCCGGCTTCTGTTTCTGCCAAGATTGCCCTCTTCTTTTTGACTTTTGAACACTCACCCAGCCAAACGCCACTGCGAGTCCCTTAAACTTAAAACTCGGGATTCGGGGATCACACCAAGATCAAGGGTTTCAAAACTTTTGGGTGTTTTTGACCCCCCGCAAAATTAGCGCTCCTCGGGAAAAATGCCGCAGCTGAACGGCGGTGGAGGGGACGATCTGGGTGCGAACGATGAAATGATTTCCTTCAAAGACGAAGGCGAGCAGGAGGAAAAGATTTCGGAGAACTCCTCAGCAGAAAGGGATTTAGCAGATGTCAAATCTTCTCTCGTAAACGAGTCGGAAACGAATCAAAACAGCTCGTCGGATTCTGAGGTAAGTGACAAATAACCGCGAATCCGCGACTTTGTGCAGAACTTTACACGCACGTTTCTTGTTTAAACACGCTGCTAACTAGCTAACGATCTCCCCGCTGTGATTATTCAATGCATTCCCTGTGTTTCGTTGCATTTCAAGGCGGAAAGACGGCCTCCGCCTAGATCTGAAAGTTTCAGAGACAAAACAAGAGAAAGTTTAGAGGAGGGTGAGTGCTTGTTTTCTCTAAATCATCTTTTTTTGCATTGGACAACAACACGGTGCCTCGGTTCCGTTTGCTTCTGTACACACGTACAAAGTTGTTTTTTTTGGGAATGTAACTTAAACTAAAAGTTGTCCTCTTCTTTCCCCCCGCCATGTTAGCTGCGAAAAGGCAAGATGGAGGGCTGTTCAAGAGCCCACCGTACCCGGGCTATCCATTTATAATGATTCCCGACCTCACGAGCCCGTACCTCCCGAACGGATCTCTCTCACCCACCGCGCGCACAGTAAGTGTTTTAACGTGTTTCTGTAGCGTCATGCACGTAGCTAAAGCACCACGTCCATGTTTAGGGATTGCTTTGGTCGGCTCGTGAACTTCTGCCACACTTCTCTCTGCTGCACTGTACGGCTGCACGCCGCTCGCGCGGATCCACTGTCGCGCGTGGACAGAGCCGCGCGTGCGGCATGTAAAGTTACAGTGGAACACATAATGTGCTTTCGTGAAGTGCACAAACTCACGGCCACAGCAACTTTTATCTCCGTTGTTATTTTTCTTCTTCTTATTTCCCCCGGCTATATGTGCACACTTGGCAGGTTAGATTCTTTGCTTTAGATTCTGTATTCTTAGAGTATTATTTGTTTGAATTGTTTGTGCACTTGAATAACTAGTGGATTAGCTCGTTTGCTTTAGATTAGACATTTAATTTACAGTAGCGGGTGTTCCGGAATTTCTAAAACGGAAATGTACAAGAATGTTTGCATTTATAATAATAGCATTATTATTACTGTCGTTATTATCGTTGTTATGATTTTTTTTTACACATGGGAAAAAAAGCGTTTCTGTTATTCTAAGGCATATAACCATTAAAAATTATATTTTTAAGTTTAATTGCAGCCTTAATGTTTTTCAAATGAAATCAGAGTGGTGCTATATTTACAATCTGCGCTTTTTCTGCCACTTTGAATTGAATTACTGCTGAAGAAAATCGAGTGGAAATGACAGAAATGATTGTGACAGTTTAAACGGATGGAAACAAAGATGCTGTTATGACATGATGATGAAAACATTTTTACAGTCTGCCACATAAAATGGCACATTAGTCATTTATCTGAGCTAATTTATGACTAATTTATCCGAGCTTGACATAATACTGCTGGTGTTATTTACAGAATGCAATGCACATAAACGTTATTGCCAAAGAGCATCATGGGAAATGTTTATGTAATTAGTGAAAGGCTGTCAATGAATTTGTGATTCGCAGAATGAAAGCACAATATTGCTCATTCCAAACTTGACATAGTGTGTAGTAAAATATTAGACGGTAGTGTCAGAATTATTTTGAAATTAAATGCACATTAAATATAATATGTTTTATATTTACATTTACTTTTTGTCATGGCATGGCGGACTTCTCATTTAGAGCATGCATAATGTCGAATAACATGTAATGAGAATATATGCTTAATATGTAGGTGTAAATACAGATTTATGTTGTTTAAATCAGATGTGCTTAGTTATGCATATTTGTCCAGCACTTTTCCTGGCACCAGAAAGAATTCATGTTGATTTAGTAGGTTCATATTTTTATTCACAATATATTTTTTTAAATGTCATTGCTGTGGATGTAACATAATAAGAATAAGGAAAATTGTGCTGTAGGATCTTGCTGTCATTTCTGATCTTCATAATCAGCTCCAGGCTTAATCTGAAACGTGAAGGTATGCTTTATGACAATGACATGTGGTGTAACCTGAAATTAAGTAAATAACTACGTTCAAAATGTACTGTTCTGAAATTGTGGATTTAACTTCAGGTATTTTAAAGACGTTCTGCTGTTTCTTGTATCAGTGAGACATTTTTGTAGAAACATCTCTGGCTGTTTGTGTTTGTGGTGGAGATTGCGTGTTTCCCAATACATGCCTTTTTGCTGAATCTGTTCTTCACTTGCTGATAATTTATTTACTGATGTAAATGCATATTAGAAACATTCACATATAAACAAAAGCACAGAAATGATGAAAGCATCAGTATGACCACTGCAATTGTGCATTGATTAGTAAGAATATGAAGGAAGTATTTGACATATAGCGTGTCTTCTGTATGGTTGGTTGTGAAGAATCTCACAGATGCTGATACCAGAGTTCATAGTCTGTTAGTTCCTCTCCCTGCTGGGATGGAGCCCTGTCTAAATCGCTGGCTTATTCATTGTTGGCTACCGAGAATATATTTAGCGATCTCTCACGGAAGTAAGGATCATTGTTTGAAATCCTCCCCTATATGTGGGAGTCAGTCCAGGTCTGTTCTGACCCTCTAGCCTAAATTTTATACCCATAGATATAGTCAATTTCTTTATAGTTGTATGTTGTAATGTTTGATCTCTTACTGTAACCAGGCCTACAGATCTCAGTCTTTGACATTGTGCTGTAGCCCTTCACCCTGCTTCTGTGCAATGAGGTCTGCTACCTATGAGCTGCCTGGGCGTCCGACCCACACCGCTTTGAAGTTGAAAGCCGCTGTATTCATAAACGCATTACTTAAGTAGAGGATAAATAATTCACCTGAGCATCGATTAGCTGTCGCTCTGTTTAACGAATGCATGAGGCTTGTTGTGTTTAGCTGCCAATGATGTACATTTTAGCATTTCTTAGCATTTTCCTTCCTTCCTTTTTTTTTTTTTCTAAATTGTATGAGACAAACAGGTGATGCCGTTTTATTGCATTTCAAACATTTATGTATTGATCCGATGTTTTGTCTTCAGGATAAATTTGCTACTGCCGCATTATTTAATCTGTAAGGGTTTATTTAATGGAGGATGCTTCTCTACTGGTTGATATCAGAGATGTGACTATTAAAAAAATATATATATTTAATTTACATGGGCCATGTGTCAGCTGAATTTCCCTGATGGCCCACTCATGCAATAGTGATGAAATGCTTTTCCCCTTGTGCGTGTTTGACTGAAGGGAGGGAGGGAACAAGTTTAATTCGTCTGACCTCTGTAATAACGAGAGCTGTAATAACAGGAGTTTGTATTTCCAACAACCTCAATCGGAAAAGCTTCACGATGATTTGGTAGCAATTAGCAATTTGCCATGACGTTCTATCGACAATGCCTGGATCCTCTTTTTTTCCCTCACTAAAAACGGCAGACAATAGCCACTCTTCCCCCTTTCATCGAGAGCAGTTTGCATGGCAGACACACGGCTGCGGACACACTCTACGTGTGTGTTGTGGTTGGAAAGGTGCTGGGTTAACTGGGTGGCTGTAGGCTAAAATCACACCTCAACAGGTCTGTGGAGAGGAGAAAGCGAGGTAGAGCAGAGGTCTGGCCGGCTTCGTTCTGGCAGGGGGCTTAATGCCCGTAAATCCGCTGGGTTTATTTATTGCCTCTCTGACTTATGAATGTTAAGATATTTGAAGCCACCCCTGGCCCCATAATTCCTTAGGCCTGCAGACTTTTGGCAGAGGTTTCAGGTTTCAACGTATAATTATGCGTAGTTTAAAAAGGGAACATAATATAAAAAAGACAAACTTGCAGCACCCAAATGCACTCTCCGCTATTTAGAGCAAAGAAAAGGAGATGCAAGGCAGATATTTATTTTTTTTAAATCATAGTTTTAAATTTAATAATTTTAAATGTAATGTATAATTTAATTAAAAAAATTCTAAATTGATTTTGTGTTTCAAATCAATTCATATTTTTTTTTCCGAAGATGCATTCATCCCTCATATAGCCCTGCATGTACAAATTTTAATAAACCATGGCTGAGTCTTTTTAGGCTAAGAGGTCAATAACAATGCTTTATCGTATGGATTATGTGTGTTGAATAGCCTGTCGTGTGAGGTGCAGAAGATAGTTTAATGCGGATTTACAGGGATAGACTCATACCTTATCAAATAGGCTTTACATGTTAATGGCCCCTAATTGCTATCCGCAGGGGGTTCACCGAGCTACGCGCTCGCGTTCTGTGCCGCTCTGCACAAAATACACTCCCAGTTTATATAGAAGGTTGCCATCCTTTTGTTTTGCAAATCACTTTTGTTTACAAAGAATGGCGGAAGCAAGACTCTCTCTTTCTCTCCCTCCGCCACTCTTTCCTTCTCCTCCTTGTCTTTTTTCTCCTCTTCCCATCCTACATGCAAAACAAAAACAAACGGTTTCTGTTTGCTGGGGTTTGATAAACACCCATAAAAAAGTGCAATCTGTTTTGGATTTGTGCGAGTTAAGTTGGGGAGCAAAGTTTGGCACCATTAAACTGAAAGCAGGGCCTGTGAGACATTAGCGGCGCACAGCACATTCTCAGGGCTTAATTAGTCCAAACTGTAATTGTTCATGGTCTGCCAATAGGAGTAATGCTCAGGAAGAGTGGAGTTGCACTAAATCGGCCCATGGTTTTTAAAACAATAAATCACTCGCATATTTGTGTCATGATTCAGATAAAGTCCCGACCTCTCCCATCTCGACATGTGGTAAATTGTAAAGTCAATGAATCGCAGATGTGGGTGGGGGGGGTCGGAGGGGGTGGGCCGTGAAAGAGTACAGTACGGTTTTGTTAGTGCTTGGTAAATGAATGGAAAAGATTTGTGCTGTAAATATTTACTGAGGTTTTTTTTTTCTTTTCTACTTACTGTGCTCAATTGTCTTACGTTCATGGTTTTGGCAGGCTGCTCTCTATGATCGTGTGTGAAAATAACCTGGTGCTTTTTCTTTTTCTCTCACTGATTGTTTTTTAAGGCAGCGTTGTGTATACACAATGTTCTGCACTAGTTCAATAGTTAATGAAGGTTTCTTGTTTAAGAATTTCGTAATGGTATCGCAAATAAATAGAAATAGTCAATTATTTTCAAATTTTATCGGATGCCACAGTTGAGAATTATGTTTCTGTCTTCTTCTTGATTTATTTCCGTCGCGTTTGTTTTTAAAGCTGCAAACGCAATCCTGTCCTGTAACTGATAAATGGGGAACTTAGAAAAATGCTGTTGTAAATTCTGCATCTCATGGAGCTGCATTGGCTTAGCAGCTGTGTGTTGTTGACCCCACCCCTCACCTCTCTCCTCTTCACCATTTATTTCCATGCTCAAAGTTCAACACAAAGATCGTACTGTATGTCTGGAATGCAACTTTTGTCATCTGTTAAATATAGTCCTGCTGCTGGCCTACACATTGAGGGGCTCCTGAAACATGGAAATGAAATGACTCTTTCTCTAATGCACTGTGTGCAGGCCTGTGCAGCTGTATGATAGCTGCATGTTAATTCTTATATGACGGGCAGATTTTACTGACGG